CTGGGGTGTGTGGGGGGGTTCAGGGGTCAGGGCAGAGAGCTAGGGTGCATGGGGGGGTGCAGGGCAGAAGACTGGGAGTGGGGGGGTTCAGGGGTCAGGGCAGAAGACTGGGGGTGGGGGGTTCAGGGGTCAGGGCTGGGGGTGTGTGGAGGGTGCAGGGCAGAAGGCTGGGTGTGTGCGGGGGGAGTTCAGGGGTCAGGACAGAGGGCTGGGGGTGTGTGTGGAGGTGCAAGGCAGAAGGCTGGGGGTGTGGGAGGGTTCAGGGCAGAGGGCAGTGGGGGTGTGTGGAGGTGCAAGGCAGAAGACTGGGGGTGTGGGAGGGTTCAGGGCAGAGGACAGTGGGGGTGTGTGGAGGTGCAGGGCAGAAGGCTGGGTGTGTGGGGGGGTTTCAGGGCAGAGGGCTGGGGTGCTCGGCTCTTGGGGGTGCTCCCAGCCCCCTGCCCTGAGCGGTTCATGGCAGGGGGCTGGAAGGGATATGCCCTGTTACACCCCCTTCCCCAAGGCCCCGACCCTACCTCTTCTCTGCCTCCTCTACGGAGCAGCGAGCACGCTGCCACTCCTTCCCCTCCCCCTTGCAAGGGCCACCAGCTGATTGGCACAGGGAAGGAGAGGAGATGGGGCAGGAAAGCACCACGCTGGGGGAAGAAGTGGGGGTGGGTGGAAGCTTGGCTGCCGCAGGACCAAGCTTCTGCCTCCTGCCCCTGCAGGGGAGAGTGGGGGGGGGGGGCGCGCTGAGTGGGGCTGGGACCGCGGCAGGCAGCAGCGTGCCACTCAAAATCAGCTTGCGTGCCGTGTTTGGCACGCGTGCCGTAGGTTGCCGACCCCTGGTTTAGCATATCTGGCACGTAAATACCTCATAATGCTTGCTACAAAAGTGCCATGCAAATGCCTGTTCTCACTTTCTGATGACATTGTAAATAAGAAGCAGACAGCATTATCTCCTGTAAATGTAAACAAACTTCTTTGTCTTAGTGATTGGCTGAACAAGAAGTAGGACTGAGTGGACTTGTAGGCGCTAAAGTTTTACATTGTTTTGTTTTTGAGTGCAGTATGTAACAAAAAAAAACTTACATTTGTAAGTTGCACTTTCACAATAGATTGCACTACAGCACTTGTATGAGATGAACTGAAAAATACTATTTTTATCATTTTTACAATGCAAATATTTGTAATCAAAAATAATACAAAGTGAGCACTGTACACTTTGTATTCTGTATTGTAATTTATATCAATACATTTGAAAAAGTAGAAAAACATCCACAATATTTAATAAATTCCAATTAGTATTCTATTGTTTCACTGTGTGATTAAAACTGCAATTAATCACTATTAATTTTTTTAATCGCAATTAATTTTTTGAGTTAATCGTGTGAGTTAACTGAGATTAATCGACAACCCTAGTTATTTTATTTTCTAGAATATCCTCTCATATCTGTTTGTAGTGTATTCTTTGTAAGCCAAATCAGTGTTCACTTCCATTGGAACTCAGATGATAATACACCTCTCAAGATCTGGAAATATATTTGTAAGCCAATGTAACAGTAGAGAGAGAATGTTGTGTTAGTAAATACATATCCATATAGCAAATGAATACAACTTTTTGAACTATATATTCTACACTAACTTTTTATTTCTCTCTACTCAGTTCAAATGTCAGCATAAACCAATCTAAAAGTTAACCACAATTATAAATGTAAAGCTTTAAGGAAAGTCAGCTGCGCCATGAACATGTATACTTATTTGTATTACACACACTGTTCTAAATTGGCATCATCTGTTACGGATAACCAGATGTAATTTACCTTTGGCTCTGCATTCATGAAGGTAATTTAAATTAAATTAATGTTATATGGGGGGGAAAGGATAATTTGTTCTGTCTTCTGCTGTTGGAAATCCAATGTAATTTTTGTTAAAATAATTTTTTAGCATACATTTGGAAGATCTTACAGATGTTCAAAGTAAGTTTTTGATACTGCATTTTTCAGTTTGCCAGAGATTGATTTTTTTTCTCCCTGTGTTCTAAAACAATCTTTAGCTAATAACGATTTTTAATTCAATAACTTTTTTGACAAAGCATCAGCACTATTAACTATGCAAGTTCTAGGAATGGGGTTTGTTAGTGCTGCTGCAACAAAAAGAGGCTTCTCTAAGTACTATACTAGACATGTTTTTATATCACAAAACATTACCATTATCCTCTCTGTCTTCTTGACACCAGAAGAGATTTTAAGGCAATAATTAGATGATATTTAAAAATCTGATGCCCTTCCCCACTATTATTAGGTGTTTGGTTTTTCTTGTTGCACCCATAATGGAAGCGATTGTCCTGTGTTTGAGGCACAGAGGCATCTTGTGTGTGATCTGATTCAAGTCATTCTGTGTCTCCCATCTATAGAAAGTGGGGAAATAGGAGTCCCATGTATTCTTTAATGCCACGAAATTCACATTCGCTACAAAGCTTTACTCCAGAATCTCACCTTTACGTTTAAAAAGAAATAATCTTTCTAGCCCTCATGGTTGCAAAGAAAACCCTGAATATATGAACGGACACAGGTATGGCTACACTACAAACACGTCAGCAGCACAGCTCCAGCTATACCATTGTAGCCTAGACACTTACTACAGCAACAGAATGGGGTTTTCTGTCACTGCAGTAAATTCACCAAGAAGCAGTAGCTAAGTCAACGGAAGAATACTTCCATTGACCTAGCTACATCTACAGTGGGAGTTAGATCAACCTAACTACGTACCAGAGATTTTTCACAGCCCTGAGCGATGTAGCTAGGTCTGGTATAGTTAAACCCTTTATGAGTCTACAGAATAGCTGAGAGGTGTGAGCTGCCCCATTCACCTCAATTGGGTGTTAAATCTTCAACCCAAAAGATGATAATTTGAATTCTAATATTGTCAACTATTTCACTGATAGTGATTTTAACAGAAATATTCAAAAATGTGCTTACCTCACAATCTAAAACTGTCTCCCAGGGTTCCCCATGTGCCAAAAGCGATGACTGCCCCTACTCAGCTGCCCAAACTACCAGCTTGCCCTGACAACCATCTATGGTGCAGATGGTACTATGTACCACTGTGCCTATTTTGCAGGCCACTCAAGGACTCAAACAAAACAAGGTGTTTTAAAGCGGTGAGAATTCTCGTGTGTCAACTAAGTTGACCCTTTTTAAATTCATTGCTGTTGGCAATGGGCATCTGACAAGGAAAATCTAACTCTCAGCTTAAAAAGAACTGACAACTGAATTAGTACATTGACCTTGTAGAGTGTTGAACTAGGATATTATATACATGAGGATCTCTGGCACACTCTAACCATACTACTTTGCAAATAACCAACACAGCAACTCTATAAATTAGGATGCATATGAGAAAATAGGACGTAAAAAAAGAGTTAGTCATATGAACAGGAACAATGGACAGGTAAATAATATCCAGTAAAAGAGATAATATACAGTGTGAGTCTGCAGCATTTGCAAAATTAAGAGTAGCATACATAGCATTACTACATATGTAGTTTGATTCTCTACTATGTTATTTCAGTTATATAATGCTGTGACTCATTAGTTACACCAGCATATAACAAAAGGTAAAGAAGTGCAGAATCAGGCCCATTGAGGTTTGTGAGCAAAAACCAGGCCCACACACTGACTCTCTCCTGCATGATATATTTATGTGACCCATCCTGCAGAATCTAGTCTTATGTTTAAAAAAAGGTTTTTACCTTATATTTGCAAATAAAACCTTCCAAATGTGACCCAACTGTAACTGAACTGTATTGCTTTCATGAATCTGCACACAGCCTGAAACAATGGTCCAGTGAGGTATAAACTCCCTGGCCATCCCATTAATCTTATTTGTATGTTAGCACGAATGCCTAATGAGAACAGCTATATCAACATTAAAGTGATCAGCAATTAAATAGTTTGTAAAATCAGGAAGTGGGTGAAGTGAAGGCCTCGGAGACTGGTGACTGGATGATGCAGGAGGAAAGAAATGAAGAGTGAAGGAAAGAGGAAAGAAAGCACAGAAAGAAAGGAGGATGAAGAAAAAACAAAGGATACAAACTGTGGTGGTCCTAAAAAAGAGAATTTTGCCACTGAGTGATGCTGAATTGGACTATATGGTATTGAACAAATAATGAATGAGGAGAATTACTAAAAGTTCAGCTACTGCACAAAAGTCATAGTCTAGTCTCACTCTTTACTTAAATCTCCCATTAATAAGAGAAGAGACTCACTGTGAATTGAGGATATTATATAATCCAAAAATTATACTCTGACAGAGCGTAAATAGAATTCAGCCCTCTCCATAGAATGAGCTTGACACCCCTGTTTCAAGGACAAATTAATTTAGTTCACAAAACAAAGCTATATATGCAAGTACTGTAAAAACAAATTTCACCCTTCTTAAAAACATAAATGACGTGATACTTACAGCCACAACGGATTTCAGACTATTGTCGGTGGGGTGTGCAACACCTGGGTGGAAGCCAGCAGGTGGGCCCAGCGCTGGGTCACTGCTTCTCCTCACTAGCAGCGGTGTGCCTAAAAGACAAAATAAAAGGTTGAGTCAAAAGAGCTTCAGGGTAAAGCTCTGTGCAATCTAATTCAAAAGACTTGCAGCTTACTTTTTCATACAAGCTTATTATTTCTATAGGTGCCTGTAAATTATTCAATCTGATCGCATTCTGTCACGTATTATCCACTGACCTACAGACATCACAAAAGCCATAGACCCAACTGCACAATCTTCCACAATGGCAACGCTAAATTGACCACACGTACGCTAAAATAAAAAAATGCTGACGAGCAGGGGGAAGTGACATTCTTCCAAAACCAATAAAATAACCACTGCAGGGCTTTATGGCCATATGTAGAATCACATTCCAATATGGAAACCATATGCCCACTTTAAGGAATGACCCCGTAGGGTACAAAGACTGCTAGTTTTGTCAGTTTCTAGTGATAAATAGAGGTTAGGTGTCCAGGCTGACATTTTCAGATGTACCAACAGCCTTTCATGTCTCAGGCCAGCTTTTATTTTATTGTTTTACTACAGACACTAGCTTGGTAGAATTGGATCTCCGGATCACATTTCAGTAGTTCTCTCCTTTCATCAAAGGTATCCCAAAGCAGTATGGGCAATTACTCATCTGTTGCAAGCTTTTTATGCAAGGCTCTGAAAGATTATAGTCCCCTATGCAACATGCATGTGAGGCCATTTGGGCTGCAATGCCACAAGCAGAGAAATAATATACCTTTCTAAGTCTCGTTTCCACGAGACTTAAATGGTACATCTCTCTGCTTTCCCATGCCTGACTCAGGAAGGGCCTGAAGCTGACAGACACAGTCCAGACAAAACAGAGGTGGTGGTGGTGGTTAGGCAGAAGCAAGCATCTACATCTATTGTAGCAGTAGCAGTATCGGTTCCACATTACTGAGCATGCCTAGACCTTCCGTCAACAAGTTTCACAACCTTGGCAGTTCTTCTTGATCCCCGACTTGTGCCTGGATTCTAAGGTAGCATCTGTGGCCAAATGCAGTTTATATCTATATCTATATCTATATCTGTATCTATCTATCTATCTGCATGCATGCACTTGGCTCACCTATTGCAGCCATTTCTCTCTGATTTGGATCTCACCAAAGTTATTCATGCCTTTATGACTGCCAGTGCACTCTATCTGGGGTTACCACAGAAGACCAAAATGATATCAGTACACATATTTTTGTGACATTAAATTCCACCCGGTTTGGTGTTTATTCCAAACATCATGTTCACATTTGTCCTGTAACTTTACCACTTTTCTTTAACCTGTCATATCGCAAATCTTCCCTTCCTTAGCAAAGTGCTTGAGACAGTAGGCTTTCCTCCTCTCTCTAGACACCTTTGACACTAATATTCTGGACCAATTTCAGGTCTACCAATAGCACAGAATCTGCTCAATTCCACAAAATTAGTCACACACCTTTCTGCTTATGAAAGTTACTTTTCCTTCCTAATCTAACCTTGACCTAAGCATAGTTACTGCAATTAGCCAATTCAGTCCCTTTTGGACAGACTCCATGTTTGTTTCTTTCCTGTGAAGGTTTCATTCCTACCTACCTTCGGTGACAACTCTATGTATGTTTCAAGACCCCTCTTCTATTGTACTCCATAAATTTCAGAACTCTGCTCTATTTTATCCATAGGCACATTTGCCTTTTTGGTTATCCTGTCTTTACTTTTCCCCTTAACTAATATTTTAATACTAACGATATTACGTGTACACATTTTTACCTCCAACTCTAATCCATCCACTTTCTCTGCCAGCCTTCAAGCTACAAACTACATCTTCTACAAATTAAATCAAACTACATCTTCATCTCAACTTCCTTTAGCTAGATATCTCAAAATAAAAGAGCTTGTGTTGGGCATAAGAAACATCCTCAATCTTACATAAAACTCTTATCTCCTTTGATTTTAACCTTCCATTTAACTGCAGGGTCCGTAACCTGGCATCATCCTGGACTCTGATAGTCTCTCAATCTCCCACATCTCTCATGTCTTAATTTCCTCTCACTTCAACTACTGCAGTACCTTTTCTGTGGCCTCTCCAAATGACAGCTAACCTGTAGCATGTGCCAAATGCAGTTGCCTGCCTCCTCCCATGTGCAGAGAAGTATGTACATCCACATCACTCCCATCTTCAAACAACCTCACTGCCAAGTCAAACTGGCCCTCTTTTTTTAAAAAGCCCTCCATAGATATACTTCAGGTTCTCTCACTGACCCAGTCTCTCTCCATACCCTTTCTTGGTGACCCAGCATTAACCTCTTTGTCCCTTCATTCAGTCTCACCATCATGAGCATACCACACTCTCCTCACAAGCTTTGGATGTCGGGACTAACCTTACTATGTCACTTTGCCCCACTGATTCAATTTATTTCAAATCTCAGCTGAAATTACCTTCCTCCTTTGCCTATGTCTCAATTTATCTCTTACTCTCTCTACAAGTATTATTCAGCTGTGCAGCAGTAACTGATGTCGGGCTATTCAAAGTGAAACTATTGTGAGCGAGCCCTGCCAGTCAACGTTCTGGAATCCTGCAGGACATAGGACTCTCAATCAATAAAATAATAAAATATATTAAACCTCAAGAACCACAACAGTAGTTAACTAGATAATTATCTGAATTATAAAAATATGGTAGCTGATCATTTGTATATTGATAGTTTGTCAGATGGCAGTCAAATATTAAACCTGAAACTTGGGATTCATAATGGAAATGCCAGCTGAAACCTAACTGTAGATTAACTAACTGTCTTGATAAAATTGTGTGTGAAACATTTATTTTATAGCCAAGCCCAACAGCTTCAAAGCACTCAGACTTGAAAAAACAAGCCACTCCTTGATTGCTCAGATAAGCTACCTATTCTTTAAAAGAAAATTTTTCCTTGTAGGAACAGGCAGTTTCGAAAGAGCTGTCTACAATTTCCTTTTTCTCTCCTCTTCTGTAATGATTTCAAAACAACTCCTGAGACATTACAATTTGAATCAGTTGGTGTCTTCTAATCGCCCATTCCCTTTTCATGTAATGCAAACACCATAGAAGAAAGATATCTCTCTCTCTAAACTACCAAAGCTAGTGTCAGATTGGTATTTTTGTTAGTATCTTCCAAAACTCTGTGATTCTTACTCCAACTCCACCCAATACACTTTTTAAAAGGAAAGCTAAAAACACAACTATACTTTAAAGGTAGGGTGACCAGATGTTTATCGGGACTGTCCCAATATTTGCTTGTTTGTCCCGCGTCCCGACCAACGTTTGGTCGGGACACTGGACAAACAAGCAATTTCTGCCCTCTGCTCCAGCTCGTGCCCCACCCCCGCCCCGACTCCGCCCCTTCTTCCCCCATTGGATAGCTCCCCAAATCCCCGCCCTGGTCCCGCCCCCTCACTGCCCCATTGGATCCCTCCCCAAATCCCCACCTCTTCCCCAAGCACGCCGCATTCCTCCTCTCTCCCAGGCAAGCGCTGGAGGGAGGAGGCCAGGGGACAGCGGGGTGAGTCCGGCCTGGCCCCGGCCCGAGCACAGGCAGGAGGGCGGGGCGGTACCTGCAGGGGGGCAGCCCCGGGTCCGGCCTGGGGAACCGGCTCCCTACGTGCCGGTGGGTGGGGATGGGGGTGCAGTAGCTGCCCGCGTGGGGACTCCGGTTCCTTGGGGTTTCACTTCCGCCAGGTGCGCCCCGGCCCTGGGGCGGAAGCAGCCGGGACCCGAGCGGGCATAAGCCAGCTCAGTGCACGCAGACTCTCGGGCACCGCACAGCGTGCGCTGTAAAATCACGCAGAGCCTCTGCTGCCGCTGCACTCCATTCCCCAGTGCATAGCTGGAACTTGAACCTGCGCGGAGGGATAGGTCAGGTGTGAGCGGGGCTGCGAAAGCCTTGCCTCGGACCCTGACTGTGAAAGCCCCTGCTCCCCCAACTCCGGGGCCACCACTCTGACGGGATTGCATGGGAGGAGGTGGAGACGAGGCGTGCCCGGGGGGGCGCTCAGGCTTTTTTTTTGCTCCGCCGCCATTTTTTTTCCTCCCCCCTGCGTCCCGCTATTTCAGTTGTGTCATCTGGTCACCCTATTTAAAGGCCACTATCCCAACCTCATGACTCCCTCCTCTCAGGGTCACAAATCAAGATTTGCAGGGAGGGAAGAATTTACCCAACACCTGTTAGTGGGGGAGAAAAACACCAGCCCCAACCCCCTAGGTCATGCCCCCTTCCAAAACCACACCCCCTGCAATTTAAAAAGGTTTCCCTTTTTAGGATTGGCTTCTGTGACTGCTTCGTCTTTTCCTTGTCATCCCATCCCTCCCACTTATCTAATCACTCACAAGCCTTAGAAAGTTTATCTGAAAATTAATAGCTAGTTAACCTATCAACCAAAAGACATGCACAAAAGATGGGCTGGCCTACTGTCCAAAAACAATGCCCACATAAAGGGGCCAACACCACTCCCTTTAAACCTAAGTGCTGTGAAAGTAGAAGGTGCTAGTGTCCCTACCAAGTTGCTGTACCTGGACCCCTGCTCAGGGGCTCCCCATCTTCCATATCAGTCTCCGGCTAGTAACTAACATATTTGAAGTCTCTAATCTCCCAAGACTGGTGAGAGAAGGGACATTCTGTCTTTCATCCAACAGCTTCTTGGCTAATAGGATGAATCAGTGTGTGTTTGTTATTCTACCTTTTCCTTAATTTTTTGGCTGCTGCAAGGTGGTCTCCCCTACTCTACTCAACCCACAGCCTCTGTTTTTGAGACCTCTTCCCATTAAAATACTTCAGAAATCTCAGCTCAGACACCAGTGCTAGGTACTCCAGGAACAGCTTTGCCCCCAAGAATTAGGCCTGGTCTACACTGGGGGGGCGGGGGAGAGGGGGGAAATCGATCGAAGTTACGCAACTTCAGCTGAACGCAACGTAGCTGAAGTCGACGTACTTAGATCTACTCACCGCGGTGTCTTTACTGCGGTGAGTCAACTGCTGCCGCTCCCCCGTCAACTCTGCCTGCA